GAGATGGGAGTTTCTGATGGAATATGTAAAGTTGGACATTTTTATCAAAATGGAATTGGAGTTGAAAAGGATGAAAGTAAGGCCTTTGTTCATTATCTTAAATCTGCAGAGATGAACAATGCTTCGGCACTTTATAACCTTGGATATTGTTATGAAATGGTATTGGAATTAAAATAAATAAACAAGCTGCGTTCATTTGTTATCAAAAATCGGTCAAAATGGATGATATTAAAGGAACGCTCCAGGTCGGTTATTGTTATGCAAATGGAATTGGTATTAAAAAGGATGAAACTAGTGCATTCGTTTATCAAAAATCAGCAGAAATGGGTGATTCTAAAGGGACATTTCAAGTTGGTTACTGTTATGAAAATGGAATTGGAGTTAAAAAAGATAAACGTAAGGCATATATTCATTATCAAAAATCAGTAGAAATGGGAAATTCGGAAGGAATGTACACTATTGGACGTTTCCATCAATATGGAATTGAAGTTATGAAAAATGAATATAAGGCCTTTATTTATTATCAAAGGTCAGCAGAGATGGGAAATTCTAAAGGAGCATTTCAAGTCGGTCATTGTTATGCGAACGGAATTGGAGTTGGAAAAGATGAATTTAAAGCATTCATTAATTATAAAAAAGCAGCAGAGATGGGTTACAATAATGGAGCAATTCAAGTCGCTAATAATTATGAAAACGGAATTGGTGTTGAAAAAGATGAATATAAAGCATTTATTTATTACCAAAAATCTGCAGATATGGGGGATACTAGCGGAACATATAATGTTGGACGTTGTTATCAAAAGGGAATTGGAGTTGAAAAAGATGAAAATAAAGCATTCATTTATTATAAAAAATCGGCAGAATAGTTCGCTGATGCAGCATTTCAAGTCGGCTATTGTTATGCGAATGGAATTGGAGTTAGAAAGGATGAAAAAGCAGCATTCCAATATTATAAATTATCTGATAGTAAAGGTGATTCTCGAGGGGCATTTCAAGTTGGTTATTGTTATGCAAATGGAATTGGAGTTAATAAGGATATACGTATGGCATTCCTTAATTATCAAAAATTAGCAATTAAAGGTGATCCTAAAGGATTATTTCAAATTGGATATTTTTATGCGAATGGAATTGTAGTTACAAAGGATGAGCATAAGGCATTCGCTCATTACCTAAGATCAGCAGATATGGGTGATTCTGAAGGAAATTTTAGTGTCGGAAATTGTTATCTAAATGGAATTGGAGTTGAAAAGGATGAATGCAAAGCATTCCTTTATTATCAAAAATCTGCAGAGATGGGTAATTCTAAAGGGCTATTTCAAATTGGTTATTGTTTTGCAAATGGAATTGGAATTGAAAAGGACGAACATAAAGCATTCATTTATTATCAAAAATCTGCAGAGATGATGAATGTTAACGGAATTTATAATGTTGGACATTGTTATCAGAATGGAATTGGTGTTGAAAAAGATGAACAAAAGGCTTTCATATATTATCAAAAATCTGCAGAAATGGGGAATTCTAATGGAATTCTTAATTCCGGATATTATTATCAACATGGAATTGGTGTTAATAAAGATGAATTTAAGGCATTTAATTGTTATAAAATATCTGCTGTTATGGGAAATGCAATTGCAATTTATAATCTAGGATATTGTTATCAAAATAGTATTGGAGTTGAAAAGAACGAAACTGAAGCGATTATTCAATATCAAAAATCAGCAAGAATGGGAAATACTGATGCAATGAATAAACTTGGATTTTGTTATGAAAATGGAATAGGAACTGGAAAATGTCAATATTTAGCATATACTTGTTATCAAAGATGGGAAATTCTGAAGGAATATATATTGTTATCAAAATGGAATTGGGGTCGGAAAAGATGATAATATGGCATTTTTATATTACCAAAAATCTGCAGATATGAATAATGCTGGCGGAATATGTGCACTTGGTTTCTGTTATGAAAACGGAATTGGAATTGAAAAGGATAAACATCAGGCGTTTGATTGTTATCAAAGATGTGCTGATATGAATCATGCTTTTGGAATGAATAACGTCGGTTATTGCTACCAAAATGGAATTGGAGTTGAAATGAATGAACATAAAGCGTTTATTTATTATCAAAAATCAGCGGATATGGGTAACGCACATGCAATGAATAATGTTGGTTATTGTTATAATAAAGGAATTGGAATCGATAGAGATGAACTTAAAGCATTCATCTATTATAAAAAATCTGCAGATATTGGCTATGCTGGTGGAATATATAATGTCGGTCATTGTTATGATGAAGGAATTGGAGTTGAAAAGGACGAAAATAAGGCATTCGTTTATTACAAAAAATCTGCTGATATGGGTTACGCTCCAGGAATGGATAATCTTGGTCATTGTTATAGGAAAGGAATTGGAGTTAAAAAAGATGAGAATATGGCATTTATTTACTATCTAAGATCAGCAAATATGGGACATGCTCTTGGAATGAACAATGTTGGTTATTGCTATGACAAAGGAATTGGAATTGAAAAGGATGAACGTAAGGCGTTTATGTTTTATCAAAAATCTGCAAATCTGGAGCATCCTAAAGGGACATTTAACCTTGGTTACTTTTATCAATATGGGGTTGTAGTTGAAAAAGACGAATCTAAGGCATTTAATTGTTATAAAAAATCTGCTGATATGGGTAATGCACTTGCAATGCTTCAAGTTGGTTATTGTTATGAAAATGGAATTGGAATAGAAAAAGATGAGTATATGGCATTTATTTATTATCGAAAATCTGCTGATAAGGATGAAGCTCATGCAATGTTTCAAGTTGGCCTTTGTTATTCAAATGGAATTGGAGTTGAAAAAGATGAATTTATGGCATTTACTTATTATCAAAAATCAGCAGATAAGGGTAATTCTAAAGGAATAATACAAATAGGTTACCGTTATGAAAATGGAATTGGGGTTGAAAAGGATAAATCCAATGCATTTAATTATTATAAGCAATCAGCAGAAATGGGGGATACAGAAGGAATATGTAATATGGGACATTGTTATAAAAATGGAATTGGCGTTGAGAAGGATAAACAAAAGGCATTCTTTTATTATCAGAAATCAGCAGAGATGGGTCTTTTATTATCGGAAATCAGCAGAGATGGGTAATTCAGAAGGAATATGTAATGTTGGACATTGCTATCAAAATGGATTTGGGGTTGAAAAAGATGAACATAGAGCATTTCTTTGTTTTCAGGCATCTGCTAAAATGGGAAATGCGTTTGCAGTTCATGATCTTGGATATTGTTATGCAAATGGAGTTGGAGTTGAAAGAGATGAACAAACAGCGCTTACATGTTATCAAAAGGCTGTTAAGATGATCTGATGCAGCAAATTAATGATGATTTTCTGCAAAGAAATTGACTAATTCCATTTGCCAATTTTTCAATAAAATGAAAATTTAAATCTACCAATGAATATAATACTGTAATATAAGAACCTTTTTTCGAATCTTATATTTTTTTTTTTATTAACCAATATCTGAAATTGAAAAAAAACATCAAAAACTTCTTTTCACAGTACGAAAAAAACTGGTAACAAAATATTATAAAGCGTGGTTATAGAACAAAGATATGAAGAATACAAATTTTTAAGCGCTAGGCCATATTTTTAACCTAATGTACAACAAATGGCTAGCAATGTATGATATTATATTTTCTCGTAACACTAAAAGTTTGAATCAAATACTTGCGTCGCAAAAGTAACGTTGTAAAGTAACATACTAAAAGTCATGTTAAATAAACCTTATCTTCGAGACAAGTCAAGAACTGTGGACTTTGCGTATTGAAAAAGAAAGTTCCAACAAAAATATAATAAGATTTATATTAACATCGATTATGATGTATAATGTAAATGAATATAAAAAATTAGATTACAAACTATAAAGAATGATTCCATAACAGTCACACGATTTGTCACATCAAAATTTTTATCATAAATTACACAAATCGATAAAATTACATTTTTAAAATTTCTAATAAAATCTTATTCAAAGTATACTATACTTTAACACGAAAATATTCCCGAGGTTTCAATGAATCAAACGACATAAAAAATATAAAAAATAAACTTCTTTTTGTAAAATACTATGTCTTCGAATATAGGCAATTATTTTGTATATCGTTGCAAGATTCTTTTCAAGCTAACAAATTTTTCGCATAAAAAGTGATTCACTAGGTGCATTAGAGCAAGAGCTTTCGACAAAATGCATCTTTGAAATGTGGGTACATTATAAGCATAGTGGAGAAAAATTAGAAAAAGCTATTTTATATAAGTAGATAACTTATTAATTAAGGTATAGTTCGTTTCTGTACTTAGTTCGGTCTTTTTAGTCTTTATAAAAAGTTTTTTAAAACATTTTTATCTTCTTTATTATGTTATAACACCAATCTCAAATTCATTTTGAAGTTCAATAATCTTAATCATTAATAACCTTCGTGAGTAATATAGTAGAACTTTTATATTCTTCAAAACGCTTTAGGATCTTTTTTTCAACAACTGCTAATTTGTGCATTGAATATTTTCTTAGACATGATATGTACTCTAAAGATAGATCGATGATATTAGTTGAATAATTTATAGTATAGAAACCAAATTGCATAACTCAAAATTTCTATTATGCTATATAGTTAGAAATGAAAGACGCATCTTTTTCAAGCTATCAAATATTTCTATTTCAAAGATTTAACTTCTAAATTAATATTGAATTATAGCACAAGATACTAGTGCCTGGTATGGATATTTGCCGATCTCTAATTCTGAATCTCAAGATTAAACGAAGTTAGTAAGTATACTTTATTGCTTAATATTTTTTATAAATGATGTTTATTAAAATTTAATATAAAATTCTTTTATTACAAAAGGGTGGAATAAAAATATATAAAGTCAAATTTTTCAATTATATATAAGTTAAACAATTATTCACTTGTAAATTCATCATCTTCAGATTGATCATTACTTTTTCATTTTCTCTTTTGAATTTTTTGTTGCTGTTTAAAATTTGCTACAGTATCTTTAACTAAATTTTTACTTGCTCTTCCCTTTGTATTTTTCTTTTTAGTTAAATAGACTTCTTGTGCAAGTAGATCTTGCATACATTCTATTCCGTGTTGATAACAAGTTTCTATATTGGAGTATCCTTTTGAAGTATTTTGTGTTGTATATTCAAAAAGTGAATGACTATTGGGGTCTGGATTTTGAAATGCAGTATATATTTGATTATTTAAAATCCACAATTGCTCACATTGATCTGGTGCAGGACGGTCATCAATATTTATTACAGTATCAATAAATTCGTCAAGAACTGATAATTGTTCGATTTCATCTTGACTTCCTTTTATTTGCCGATGTAAGTTTTTATCATCTTCAGACTTTCTTGTCATTACTTGTTTAACAAACTTGACACCATATGTTTCTAATACTTTATCATATGCCAGATAATGTCCTTTGCATGTAATATTAACAGATGGTACTTGATTTAATCTTTTTTGAAGTTGCAGATTTTTATGCAATCTTCCTAAAAAAATAGCAACTGATTCTGCATATCTGTACTTACCAGTAACTGGAAAAAGAGGTGCAAATGTGGCAAGACTTGCAATTTGCAAATCAAAATCTCCTCTTCGAATACTAATTTTATGCACTTTTCAATAACCAGCCCACTGGTAATAATTAAACCAAACTTTTAAAATATTGTTAGAACTATTTTCAATATCATTAATAGTCATTTTGGTATCTTTTAGATAACGATGAATTGCAATTTCAACTGATGCCCAGATTAATTCAAGAACTGTATAAGTTGCACGATAATCTGAACCTTTTTCTAGATTTTCCAAATATCGAACGCCAAGTAGTACTGCCATGTTAAAAATCCCATATCCAGAAAAAGCAATAATTAAAACCTGGCACATGTCTTTTGAAGTATGCCATTGTCCAAGGATAATATTAGCGGTGAGATTTTCATTTTCATAATTTTTAAGTCTTCGAAAAATGGCTTTGTCGCATGCAATATTAATCGTGGTAGCTTCCGTGTTTGCTACATCATTCAAAAACATATCATATGTTTTATATACATTTTTATTAGAATTTGGCGCTGGTCCAGGATCTAGAATTATTATTTTTGGCTTATCAAATTTGCATCCGATTTGAATATTTTCAATAACTTTTAGGTGAATATTGCTAATATCAAAATTATTTATTTTTTCTAAAAGTAATTCTTCAAAAATTCTATTATTATTTTTGTTTAGCTTTTCCGTAACCGTTAATAATCCAATTGTAACTTGATCTAATTGTTCAGAAAAGAAGACTGAAGTCGGTTGCAAGCATGGGAGAAGCTTAAACTAAAATACGATTCGAAGAGTGGCATAAGAAGTTTTTGTGCAACATTATAAATATTTCCATACATAAATGTCTTCTCTTTTATGTCAATATTATCAATTACTAACAGATTGTAAATATTATTTCCAACTTCAAGTTTGTTAGCAAGATTAGAAGATTCTATACGCCGTCTTTCCATATGAACTTCATGATCCCAAATGTAAGAAATAATATGTGTGGAATGAAGGATTTTGTAAAGTTTTAAAATCATATATGAACGTCTACAAAGTGAACCTAAAACATGAGTAAACCAAATTTTCTACTTACGAAAAGCAATTCCTATTATAATTGATACTAAGAAAGTTGTAATTTTGGTAACTATTGTTAAATCTAATAGAATCGATGGTGATCCATGAGATTTTCTTTGTCATTCTGTGATCTCATATTTTTTTTAAAAAAAAACTGTAATAAGGCTGCTAAAAAAAGACCACAAAGTCTGGGGAAATGCTGCAGCATATTGTTCAAGAGATTGTGGATTTTCTAAGGTTGGTAAATTGTTTTTAAGCACCATATAAGATTGCCACAAGGATTCTCCAAGAAGATTTCCAAATTGTGCACATTCTTTTTCTTCTAAAAACGTTGCTTTTGCTTTATTACTTAAATATATTTTTTCTAATATAAATGCTATTTGAGTCATTAATAAAGTTGGTATAACTTGGTCATCAAAAGGGCTATAAATCAAGTTTTTTGGCAAACCCAATTTTAATGTCTTAATTACTGGCAATAACGATTAGATAAGTTGCTGTTTTTGTAATTTATTATCTGATTTTGCTATTAATTTAATCCAGTTTCCAAATTTTTCTAGAATTGCAGATAAATCATCATGCTTACTATCGCAGCCAAAATTTGAAACCCCCTGATCTAATCTTTAATATAGATGGCCGCTGTTAGTTTCGAAACACTCTGAGCAAATGTATAAGGGTCGTATGTTATTTGTTGATTGAATGGAAATTAGAAGACAAGGTTGTAATGCATCGCATGTTCGTAATCTTAAGCACAGAACTCTAATATTGCGTCCACATACTGTCCACAAATGCTTAGAACATCCCTGACCACACATAAAGAAAATTTTATATTTATTGCAGAACATGCATTGTGCATGATAAAGAATACTTTGGTCTGTTCCTAATAGTTGAATATTTTTATAATGTAGTTGATTTTGATCAAAAAGAAAATATTGATAACAGATACCAATTTTATCTAGCTTTTCATTCCATTGCATAATAGTATCACGATCAACTTCCCAAGTGCCTTTAAGTTGGGCAAGAGGTCGGTTAGGACCTCCTTCATCAATCCTGTTACATTGTCGTATTTTTTTCGTTATTGTTATTATCTATAATGACACAAGGTGTGTATTTATTGTTTTTTGCTGATTGATCTAATAAAATTTCTTCAATCTCTTCGTCAAATTCAGATGATATATTTTCTTCAGTCGTATCATTAAGATCGTAATCTTCATTTTCATTATCACTATTCTTCTGTAAAATTTTATTCTTAACATCTTGATATGCATCAATGTCAAAATTAAGAATAGGAAGGTTTTCTATTTCAGTTGCAGGTTCATCAGAATCAGAATAGCTCTCATCATAATTAGTGTCTTCCATCTGATTAGTGGGTTTATTATTATGAATTATAATACTGGGTTAAGATTTTTTGTAAGCAAATATAAAAAATTTATTTGATTATAAAACTGTAATGCTGTAATTTCAATTTTAATTATAAATTTACAAAAATTTTGGATCGAAGAAGTTTTGTTTATACATTTTTTAATTATTACAATTATGAATGTTTATTACTAGTAAAAAATTATATTATATGCAGTTTTCAATTGCTTAATCACCCAATTACTCTATTACTAAATCGCTTAGTTACCCCATCACTTAATTACTAAATTTCTCAGTTACCCCATCGCTTAATCACTCAATTACCAAATCGCTCAATCACTCAATTACCAAATCGTTCAATCACTCAATTACCCAATTGCCCAATCGCTCAATTACTCAATAACCCAAACACTCAATTACCCAGTTACCCAAACGCTCAATTAGTAAATTACCCAAACACTCAATCACTCGATCATTCAATCACTTAATCGTATTTCTCATATCACTTAATCATTCAATGGTCTGGTCCGATTATTATCATATAGGCCTAATAAAAAAAACAAATAGTCTGTAGCGTCAATAAATTTATATAATGCAATTAGCAAAATAACAAAAGAAACAAAGTTGATACTAGTATACGGATAAATTTGAATTGTAGTATTCGGCTATGCCACAAGTAAGTGTCAAGATTCGGGAGTAGAAAGTGTTGATTGTAACTTCACCTATTTATTACGCTCAATCACTCGGTTACCCAAACGCTCAATCACCCGGTTACCCAATCGCTCAATCACTCAATTACTCGATCATTCAATCAATTAATCGTATTTCTCATATCATTTAATCATTCAATGGTCTGGTCCGATTATTATCATATAGGCCTAATAAAAAAAAACAAATAGTCTGTAGCGTCAATAAATTTATATAATGCAATTAGCAAAATAACAAAAGAAACTAAGTTGATACTAGTATACGGATAAATTTGAATTGTAGTATTCGGCTGTGCCACAAGTAAGTGTCAAGATTCGGGAGTAGAAAGAGTTGATTGTAACTTAACCTATTTATTACGCTCAATCACTCGGTTACCCAAACACTCAATCACTCGGTTACCCAAACGCTCAATCACTCGGTTACCCAATCGCTCAATCACTCAATTATCCAATTGTTCAGTCACAATCGTTATTTCTCATATCGCTTAATTATTCAATGATCTGGTCATATAAGCCTAACTGCTAATAAAAAAAATAAATAGTCTGTAGCGTCAAAATAAATTTATGTAATGCAATTAACAAAATAACAAGAGATAAGAAACAAAGTTGATACTAGCATACGGATAGAAAAGTGTTGATTGTAACTTCACTTATTCATTTATTCTTTTCCTTTAAATTATTAATTGATCCAGGTTAACAATTTTCGACAGAACGCAAAACTTTGACGTGTTAAAGTGTTACATGATCCCGAAATCGTTTATCAAATTGCCTTTTGGTTATGACTCTGACCTTGATTCACCTATATTTACGGGTTTCAAAAGGTTTGTTTAGTAATATGTCTGTTTTGGTAAATCAAAGTAGTTTTAATTGGCGACGTTAGTGCTTATTTCGCAAATCAAGGTTTAAATTATACTGGATTACAAAAGCCAATTTATACCCAACTTCGCAAGCGAGATTCTTTATTTTTGGTGTTACAAGTGGTGCACAAAAACGTTTAGTAGGCAGTTCTTATATGGCTTTGCGAGATTTTAACTTGATCTTTACATAAAAGTATATTCGTTCTTGTAAAAGACAAACGTAAAGTAAGTGATTTCGTCAATTTTATATGAAAAAAAAATTTTATCATATGATGTAGATCATTCTAAATTCTATATTAAAATCACTTCCCGTGATAATCACGTGACAAATCGTGTGACTGATAATTCTGATAAAATATGATATACTATATAATCTCGAAATTATGCCAAAGAACAATTTCAGATAATGATCAAAATTAAGCTTAATTCAGACCATACAGTGATTCAAAATAATCGCCAATATAAATTTAATATTGATTCTACCCAAGCTGGCCTGAGTCAAACGAAACCAAATTTACTTTGTTAGAATTTTTAAAAATTTTTAAGTATGATTTAAATGATTATTTTTACATATGCCTAAAAGTTTCTTTATTGAAGATATAACAGTTCGAGCGGTTCATTTTATTTTGAACTAGTATTTTAATATGTATCATATTTTATTACCGGGATATTCGTTATATAAGTTTTAAGTTTTTCTGATTCCAAAAGCTGTATTTGATAAGATTAAACAATAAACAAATTAAATAATTTAATAGAATATCGTAATTATAGAGTACTAGCAATCATAGTTCTAAATAGCAGCATCGATTTGAATTTAATTAAAAGCAATAGATAGTAAGACTATAGGTTGGAACTAGTTACTATAATTCGACTTTAAATTCGGGTTAATCGTTTTAATAGTAAATCGTTTCTATGATATTCCAATTCAGTTAATTGTACGTATATCAGAGCTGACAGACCTAATTATACGAAACTTCAGTTATATCAATTTGATTTAAAGACAAAATTGTTTATAAAAATATATAGAAATTGGCTCAAAGCATATTATGCGAAACGTGCCAAAAATTTTTATAAAAAAAATCTTACAAAAAATATAAATTAATAAAGTGCAACACTGAAATAAGTTTGATTTTTTTAAACCAATAAAAATAATACAATAAAAAATAAATAAATAAAAAATTGAATAAAAAATAAAACGATAAAAAATAAAATAAAACAAAAAATTGAATATTATTTATTAAGATCTAAGTAATAAAGTATTTAACTTCAAATCAATATACCAGGAACGGAGTACAAAGTACGTAGAGTACGTAGAGTATGTATGGTTTACGGGCATTTAAAATTCTGTGTCTCTTTTGTGTCTGATTGGTTAATCTATTCATGTGGCTTCATATTGTATTTCTATATTTGTACATACTCTATGGGGCTTGGTCTACTGTATCGCATGTTTGTAATCAGAGAATATTCTAGACTATTATTCAGTTCTGTGTCTGTAAGATAAGATAGTTTAGTCATGGCAAAAAAATGTCGAGATCACAAGATCAATGATCTTTTCGGCCACTTTGACATAGCTTGATAAATTATAGTTCATTATTAGAAATTATAAATAAATTACCGGACAATCAAGATACACAATTGTAAAATTACGTACATGCTCCGAGTGGTCGGAAGTGATCGTTTGGTCTTGTGATCTCAACATTTTTTTGCCATAACTAACCTATTTGGGTCAGTATGTTCTGCGTCATTTCATCATCATTCACCATGTAGAACAAATCCAGTACATAACAAGTTATTTTTTCGGTAGAAATCTTTTGTGGAATAAAACAATATCTCATATGAATCTTTTTTATGTTATTAAAAAGAAAAGTAAGTATATAATAAAACAGACTAAAAACCAAAAAAAAAAAACCTTTTGTCTTGACTAGTATGTTCTGCTGCTTGTGTGCGATACAAATTATCTCATAAAAAATTTTGTTAAACAAACTTGCGCCCCAGGTTATTTTAAGTTGGCTTAATTATATCAATTTCTTCAGTCGTATCAATATAAAGAATTTTAAAATTATGTCACCCAATATTAAAGTTGGATTTTGTAAATTGTTTGTACATTAAACATTGATTATATTTATTTCGATCTATTAGGCCACGCAAAGTTAATTTTTCGTTTTGCATAACCCGCCAACCCAATTTTTCAAAAAAAGTTTTTTTTTTTTTAAGTACCAATTGCTCTAATTATTTCATTTTTGCTATTTAATTTTTTTCCATAAATTTATCCGGTATCACCCGATAATGGGCTTAATTTTCTGGAATAACCTGGCGAACTGTTAAAAAAAAACAACAGAATTTCCAAATTTTCTGATTCCATGTTATGCAAAACGAAAAATTAACTTGCGTGGCCTTAACTAAGAGCATAAATCTACTAATTTATAGTAAAAAAAATTTTTTTTGAAAAAGAAAAAAAAAAAAAATCTGACCCACCGACTAGAATTTTGGACCATCATGTTATGCAAAATGAAAAATTAACTTTGTATGGCCTTAAACTACGTTTGTTTTTCATTTGAAGAATAAAATTTCTAATATTCGATCAAAGGTTTTATGCACCAGGAAGTTGTTTTGTTCCATTTTTAAAATTAATAAGAAAGATTTATTTAAAATTAAACATTCAAAGACTTTTTTTTTTTTAATATTAAATAATATGGCATACATAATACATTTGTAGTATAAGGCCGACGATCATCTGAACCATATTTTTCTGAAAAACTTTTTGACTAAAAAACAGTAACGTACTGCAAGAAAAAAGTAAGACGTAGGAAAAGGGCGTGAGAAGAACCGCACTTGTCGTTTAGAGGTAGTTCTCATATGCTACCTGCCGACAAGCTCAGAGTTTATCACTTACAGCAGCATGGCACTTGTCGTTTAGAGATAGTTCTCATACGCTATCTGCCAACAAGCCCAGAGTTTATCACTCACCGAAAAAACTTAGTACTGTGCAAACTTGTAGAACACCTG